ATTGGATGAATGCATCTCTTCTTCCGCTGCAGGCAAAGATTTGGTAATCTGCGGTTGGCTCAATTTTTGTAGAAGAGAGCTGTTATCTAATGAGTGTTGTCTAATTAGCGGGGTCATTGTTGCTAAGAAAAAGCAGCGAGGACTGTCCTCCTGCGATGCCAGACTGCCCTCATCTCATTCAGCTCCACTTACATGGACAGTTAAGATCAAAGATACTTTATAAACTGATTTAAAAATCTTTGATTAAAATCGGCATGAAATTACGATAATCAATTCAGTTCGGGAAGAAAATTTCAAAAAAATAAATACTTGGTGGCGGTCCATCTTCGATGCCGAATACCGTCAAGCTTTGTTCCGGAAGATCAACATCAGCTACATGGACTGAAGATGAATAGGGCGGTACCACATTTCGAAGGGAACTTCGAACAGAACGTTGCTGATTTGCTGCAACTGGTGCATTACAAGACAGCTGTGCACTGGCTAAATCGTTCACTTACTAGAACAGACATCGGAATTTGTAACGTAATAGAAAGGAATATATAAGGTCTTAGCCGGAACAGAGGCCAAAAATGCGCGTATTAAATTCACTACCAGTCCCCGAGGAAGTTTGGTGCTCTTGCTCTGCCGCAGAAATGCTGGAAAAGTGCTCCAGTAATGACTGCTTCATCCAGACTAGTTCATTTTTTGAACGAATTGGCGAGCTACTGAGAGGTGTAAATATCCAGCTTGAATTAAAACAGTTCACCTTCGAGGTTCTTGCCCTAGATGGCGCCCTTTGTATTAAGTAGCTTCATAATTCTTCATGCTCGGTTACATAAAAGTGCCATTGCCATCGTTTTTGGACTAAATTTTTTGCGTCTTCGCGATTTTAGGATTTCAGAGCCGGTATTTTTTTCTTGTTTATATCGCTTTACTGGTTGCTTTTTAAAGCTCTCCAATAAAATTTGTTTTTGACTAATTTATTACAATTTTTTGAGATAAGCGACAATTTTAACGCTCTTGTGCAGCAAAAGATTGTTTTTTTTTCTTACATCATCGGTTACACTTCAAAAATAAGCGTACTTGAATTTCGCCGCTTCCTGATTAATCTTTTGTACGGAACCGATTCGTCATAAGCCGATGATGTCTGTTGCGGTGCTCCATATGGTTCTGTGCGGGCTGCTGTCTGCCCGTAACTTTCAGTATGTGCCATTGTTGAAATATCCTCAACATGAAATGAAATTTTT